TTATGAATGGGACTCTACTACATGTATCAGTTAAAGTATGAAAGTAAATGTACATGTACATGTATATGTAATAGACAAAGCAAGAAAGAAAATCATCGTTGAATACTTAGGATTAAAAAAACAAGTGAAAACAGCTCTGAAGTGTGAAAACAAATGTTTGAGAGCTTGAATCCTTTCAACACAGGTATGCAGGGCAAAGTAATACATTTTAGTCATAACTGTGGCACAAAACTACACAAATGATGATGAGTAAAATTTAAAATCTTGTCAAAACCTAATTCCTCTAGTTTTCCATCCCAACAGCAAAGAATCTCACTAATAAAGAAAGAGCAATAAAATGGCAAACGTAATCTAGTAAGAATGCATAAAAATCAGGAACAGGAGTAAATGTGTAGACTTCATGAGTCGAGCACAAACATCACCATGCTGTAATACCCATCGCTCACAAGATACATGTATTTCATAAAACATAAAATGAACTTATTTTTTAAAATAAGACTTAAGGTTGACCGAGAGGATGGAAACTCAAGTACACGTACACATGTACCTGACTGTATTCATTGTACTTTTACAACAAAAAACTTCACAATGCAATAAAAAATATCCTAAAAAGAACCTAGGGTAATCTACATGTAGAGCAAAAAATCTTCTTTCCAACAGTTTCATTAAGGAGACCGAAGTAATATAAGGGGGAACTTACCAAATGAAACGGCAGACTAAACGAGGGGCAGAGAACTCGTAAAAATGTGGTGTGTGCCCTTCCTGCCAATCTGCAAACTGAGTGGGTCTAGACGGAATGCTGAGCACATGGTCCTAATCAAAGGGGCTCTTTGTTCAAGGGTGGGTTGTAGCTCTATGCTAATTACTGTAAGAATGATGTTACCTTACCGGGGGGACTAGCTTAAAAAAAGTAAATCATTTTCCAGGGAGAGGTAACTGAAGTTATTGCACATGTAGAAGAGTACAATCATCCTCCTTACACTTTCAATACTATCTGGCAATTCTAAAGATATTACTAGACGTTCTCGTGTCAGTTTCATGAATTCACAATTCGCCCCTCTCTGCACCTTTCTGTTAGACTTATTATTCCCTGGCGGCCCTTAATCTGTTTTAGTTTTGATTTTCATTTCACGTCAAGTGTCTCATTTCTTTTCCGTAACTGTTTGTGTGGTTGGTATGATGAAGAAACTGAAAGGAATGGAACATGAGAGTATATATGCGAGACAGGGAGGCCCAGCTGAGGACCGGCATCTTGCTGCTTACATGGCTTACAACCTTTTTTTTCTGAAATACTTGAAAATGTACTCTTTAAATGCCATTGTTAATTTTGCCTTGCCATTTTTAAGGGCATTAAATTGCCTTTTTGGTTTTCATGTAGTAAATTTTACCGGTAAAACAGTTGTTATAATTTTGGACATTTTGATGGTTTAGTTTTTCTTTCCTGTGACGATTTGTTGTTGGCTAGCTAAGCCATTGCGGTGAGGCAGTTTAACACATCCTCACAAATGTTTAATGATTAATTCTTAGTTTCACTATTGCAACAAAAAAATCTGTGAAAAGGCAAAATCTTCCCCACAACAAGGTGTTGAAAAAGGTGCACAACCAAAAAGGATGGCACTGCAACTACAAGATGTACTTAGTTTAACCCCATGGACCCCTAAGTTGAAAGTCGTGCGGCCGGGCCTACAGATGTCTGTGGATTTGAGTCTTCAAGTAGCACCGGGTAAACATTGTTATAAGATCTAAGTTTACAAATTCTGCAGTGGAAAATTTGAAAAATTCAAAAAAAGGATGCGGGGCTGCTGTCAATTTGCCTTGTTTCCTTCCTTCCATCGCCCCTTTTTGGAAATCTTGAAGTGGTCAGCAAATTTTGGGTTTGTCCCTTGGTTATAACGTGACGAGGGATTTACCCCAGACACCTATGCACTTAAGAGAACTCAGGTAAGTTAACTCATGCCGGGTAAAAGGATCCTTAGTCCTAAATGGCTTCCTGCATGGAAGAAAGACGAAATAAAGAGTCTGGATAGAAAAGAAAAGCGACGGAAACCAAATCAGGGAGTAAAAGGGATGAATATTACCAAATTTCTTGAATATACCTCAGAATGCACCCCTTCAATCGTTAATGATTCATCAGTTTACTGCCGATTGACGCTTTGCCCCTCAACCTCCAGCCCAAGGTAAAAAAAAAAAAACATGGCGACGCTCACGCCCCAAACCCATTTTGTTTTTGAGGGCGAAACCATTGAATTTTTTAACGTTTTAAACTTGAAGAACATCAATCTAGGTACGTTGCCAAGTTGGCGCGTCAGTCGGTCAGTGGTCACACTCATTCAAAAAGACCCCAAAACCTGTTTACACGTGATAAACTGGTGGCTTACTCGATGACTTACTTGAGTATTTCTAATTTCTCTTTCCAGTTCTTCGTTAACATCTGGCCTTGTCATGACGTCACAAGGTTTTATATTTAAGACGCAGCCATCCATTGCGGCTCGACTCTTGGCCAGACAAGTAAGACCCAAAGATCAATGGCAGTACACGTTCGACGAACCAGAAGTCGACGTGGATGACATTCAAGGAGACGCATTCCGCGGCTTTAACAAACCCCATCTTGCCATCTTGGCCATCGACATAGTAGACGATCAGCCTGCAACCATTCAGAACACCAAGAAATGGCTCACCGATCACGTTATTCCCGACGTCACAACAGCCCGAGACATCATCCAGTATCGTGAGTTGTTCAGGTTGATGCGTGAGCGACGGGATGGTGTTAAGCCAACCTCAGTGGCTCAGATCTGTTTGAACGTGTCCTTCTCCTACGATGCGCTGCTCAAATTAGCGCCGAATAAGGACGTCAACAAATTCTACGAGCCCGGTAAAAACGTTGCCTTTAAAATCGGTCTGCCTCCTCGGTCCACTTATCTGCACGACCCCAGCAAAGGTAAGTTAAGATACTTTCATGCTTTGCTTCGAAATGAAAATCTCCATTAAGAGATGTGCCTACATCTCATGTACGTCGATAAGATACCATTTTGTGTAGGTGTTCGCTCTCCGGATGTAAGAAGCGAAAGTTCTGATTCCACGCATTACGATCTCTGTCCGGGTTGGGTTGGATAGGTTGATACGTTGGACTTTTAGTTGGCTTTTAGATAGACAGTCGTGTCCCTATCCATAGCCTGTCCAGTCTCGACCGATCCTATCTTTGAACTACCCATCAACTGATCTAATAAGTTCTGATTTGTGTTTCTGGCCAAGTATAGGGGCCCAAGATTGCTATGTTCATAATTAATTTTGTTACAAAATAGGAAAGAGAAGGGAAATGAAATAGACAGAAAACGTGTACCTTTCTCTTTTTTGTTTTGCTCCTTTTTCTGGTGGGTAGGGGCGTGGCCTCAATTGCCTCCCCCATACGCCCTTGTATTTTTAGATCAGTACTACTAAACGCAGGACTCCTAAGTTTATGGCTGGTTAGTGTCGTTGGGTACAGTAGGTTTTGGATGCTTTCATGGATGTAAGACACACTACGGAGAGAGAATTAGCCAATAACTCTGTACACTTCTGAATCTTTATCAGGTGAAGGGGCCCAGCAAAATTGGATAGTTGGTGCTAAGAAAAATCCACATATTCTTATCCAGGTACGTCATCATTTTTTTCTGATTACTCCCATTACTCCCAGCAACGATCCATGCCGGGGGGAGGGCGGCATGGAGGATAGCTAAACTTCAAAATTCCCCTTCGGGAAAATTTGACAAGGGGGACCTTGATCTCACATTCCTCCAGGTGGAATCTGGATAATCAAAAACACGCTGACCTCAGATACTTGCTTTTTTCTTTCCAGGTAGCCTCTGACCGCAAAGCACTTATACAGGAAGAGATCGACTCCCTGCAAGACGGGCTGAAATCTCTAGGCAATCCTCTCAAGATTACGTACCAAGAGTTCGGTAAACGACGTGAAGATTTCCCGGGACACGAGCACTTCGGATTCCTGGATGGTGTCAGTAACTTTGGAGTTAGGTACAGTAAATCCGAATAGGAAGATGAAAAAATTGACGCTGATGCGACTGTGCGTGCAACGTACATTCTCAAGCTGGAGAGACCACTATCTCTTATCAAATGTGGGATTTTTCATCAACACAGTATCAACTCTCCAAAGACTGGGGGGAGCACTGTGTGCACGTTCCTTCACTAGCCCCGGTCGTAAGAAATGGGAGTATACACTTTTGTACTAACCGTATAGCGCCCTCTTAATGCGACCATATTAAATCATGCAGGCAAGAGTTTTTGGCAAAAACTACACAGACTCAAAAATAATAGTCATACTGATTCAGTATGAAAATAAAGAGACAAATATGAGGAAGAGAAATTGATGTTGCAACTCACTAAAAAATAGACTTTTTAACCAGAGACTTTATCCCTCAATTTAAAGACCATATGCCAAACCATCAAACCTTGGTCTATGTTTTCAGAGGTACTTACAAGGAGCAAGGCACGGGAAAACTCCTGTACATTACGCCAAGGTTTCTGGACGAAAAAGATCCACGGTTCGGTATGTATGGTCTGCCTGGCCAGCGCCTTATATGGCCTGGTGAAGTCATCCTGGGCCTGCCAAAACAGAACGATAAAACCCGAGATCCCGAACAAGCCAACCAGCCCGGATCCAGTAAGTACACACATAAAGAAAGATTTCTATGCAGTACTGAGACTGCTTGCGGCTTTTGACAATGATACGAGGTTCAGATCACACTCAGAAGATATTCAGCGTTATTGAATGTTCAGAGACCACATTGCCAATAATCAGTTTAGGTCAATTCACCACGTTGTAGATCGGTGGTTTTGCGGTAGCGCGATTACTGTAATGACTGGTCATGGAATCAGCCGATATTAAACGTGCAGTAAAAGAAACTGACAGTGACCTTAACTTTTACAGGTTCTTACGTTGGGCCGGAATGGGCCAAGAATGGAACTTATCTGGTCTACCGAAGACTGAGGCAGGATGTACCCAAATTCTGGAAATTCATGACAGAGAGTGCTGCTGAAATCGCCAAACACCCAGACATGGCTCACTTCACCAAAGACCACATGGGTGCCAAAGTTGTGGCCAGATGGAAATCAGGTACTGATTTCGTCTACGGAATAAGCCAGTTCGGTATTTCAACAGCGCATGCCCACTACGGGGCTATTCAGGAACGGCTACATGCTTGCGCTGTAGTCTGACCTACAATGATCAACGCAGTCATACACTGACTCACGCGCGTGCTTTGTTCCCAAGAGACCTTGGCTTTTTGAAATACTGAACTGGCTGATTGGCCCTTCTAGCTTTGCAAAATGTTTTCTGAGTACAATTATATAAAAACAGTCGACGTTCTAATGGGAAATGTCATGGGACGGCATATGTTTATTTTAATGAAGGGTAAATAAATGATCTAATTAAAACCTGCTGTGGTAACTTTCTCCCAGCGCTTTCAGCGTTATAATGCATGCTGAGATTCATTGTGATGAAATACGCAGGCAACAGTTTCTTATTAAAACCGTAAAAATATTGTTTTTTAATTTCTGAGAGTTTCAGGATGGATCGATATGATCTTTGCTATTTCAGCTATCCCTAAGTCATGTATAAATCTTCCATTGCGAGTTCATATATGAAGTTTCATCCCAGTTGAACAGACCTGGGGCCTAGAACGGCATTTCTGACTATTGTTGAATCGTTGTCAACGTAATTCAAAGACAAGGAACGGAAAACTCAATTAGGCTTGCATCGACATCACATTTTGTTGCAAAACCATTGAAGTAATCACTCATTCCCTGCTGAAATTTCACATGTAGTGGTACTATCAAACTTTTTTTGTGATACATAGCCTACGTATGACCTTTCTGAATCATTTCCATTGAGCCTTATTTTACAATCATGAATTAAAATGCGAGATGGTTTATAAGGGAGAGAGCAGTTGAGCAGTTGATTATGGGACCTAATTGGTCAATTCTGACCGTTTAAAAAGAGTCCCTTAATACAGAACTCTAGGCCATTTTTTCCATTTCCTATTTTTGAAGTTGATTTACATTAGTCTTTATTTGTTCCAAATTTTCAGGAACGCCAGTGATCCGTGAACCGAGTACCGACAATCCCAAATTGGGAGCAGATCGACTGGCGAATAATGCTTTCGTCTATCAAACCAAGGAAGGCCCTTATGCACTCAAACCGCATGGTCACACAGATGGGTTTCCCACTGGGAGTCCCGATCCCCTTGGGATTGTGTGTCCCCTGTCCGCTCACCTGCGCAAAGTCCAGCCGCGTGACGCCAGCACTGACATCGGAAATCAGTTCGATACACTCAAGCATTTAATCATCCGCCGTGGAATTCAATACGGTGACGTCATTGATGACATCATGGTCGAGGATGGCAAAGACCGCGGTTTAATGTTTGTCAGCTACCAAGCAAGCATCGAGGATCAGTTCGAATTCTTGATCACCCATTGGGCCAATAATCCCACCAACCCGCACAACGGCGGTGGTCATGACATGGTTATCGGGCAGTCTAAAGCTACTAACAGGGAGCGTTCGTTTGATGTCCGCTTACCAGACGGCACGGTCAAAACGCTGACAACCACTGATGAATGGGTCATTCCCACTGGAGGCGGCTACTTCTTCGTACCGTCTATCAGTGCTTTGAAAAACGTCATTGCAAATTGATGGAAAGAAAATAAAACGACAAAGGTTGAGCGCTATTCAATGACCAATTAACGACAAAAGAAAATGTAAATTATAAACACTTAGCATTAATCAATTTTACTGTCATACGCTAAATTGTATGCAATTTTAGCTAATTTTGTTTATGCTAAAATTTTGTTTATGATCACAGACATTTCGAATCTTTTAAGCGTCTTGCTGTCGACACACCACATTATGAGTTGAGGCTTAAAATCAACGTGTAATCAAAGAAAGTAACGATTTTATAAACCCCAGGCACGACACAAAAGATGCAGATTGACTTTTTTATAATCAGAAATCCGAATTGTTTCGTACGTTTTGGTTACTATCATAACAAATCACACATTGCCTGAACTTGTAAACTCTAGTGGAAAAACAAGACAAGAATATATTTCCTAAACGTATTTGGTAATTTTTAGATTAAAAATGAGAAGATAGCTAATACTTAAACTGTGACATGTACATTTTTTGAGAATTGAAATCTGTGGTCATCGTCATTGAAATTTTGTAGCAAATAGAACGTTAATTGGTACAAGTTTCGATAAATAGCTTTTACATGTGTAACTGGTGTTTATACAGTTTTGAAGGGCCACCCTCGGTTTAGGCTGCAGCAACTGAGAGGTTACAACAAGAAATGTGTGGGCTGTGATTTCATATCTATGAAAACCCACTACTGTCACGAAGTATACTGTTGTAAAAAGTAAATATATTTTTCCAAGCTTATTTTTGCCAGATGTATATTGTTTCCAAAGTTAGTTTTTACATCCCGTGAAAACGCTTGCTTCCTAAAATATAGAAAATGTTTCTAAAAATAGAGTTTCTTTTGAGTTTTTTTTCCAAAATGAACCTTCGAAATAAATACGTATCCCTTAAAATCTCGGATTTGATGGTAACAATGTCTTCAGTGCTTTTTCTCCCTATTGAGCTTTCTTCGTGTAACACACCAAGTTATACAACACAATGAAGATCCTGAAACATCTGTTTCTGTCAATCAGCCACAGCAACTTCACAGGTTTCTGAAAATTTGAGTTGGAATATAACGTCCACAACCCACTTGTAAAAATCAACCAATCGGTATTGATTCTTGCTTCTCATTATCGAAAACACAAAAGATGCATCAGTTGTACGCCGATATAACTGGTTCTCGTTGTTGCCCTTGGTATTGTGACGTGGCGTACGTACCACACGTATGTTCATGGCGCTCATTACCAAAGTGCGCGTGCGCAAGATTTTTCAGTGAACAAATTATGCCTGATTTCGCGCGCTCTGATCGCACGTTTTATTTTCAGTGGCATTGATTTTGTGCCCTGCCTCAAAAGAGTAATGCAAAATGCGGCTTTAACTAAGCCAAACAATATTTTGTTTTCACCTAAACATGAGTTTTGCTGGTTTTGATCAATATTTATTAAAAATGAGTTTTCTTGGTAATAAAAACTAGTTATAAACTAGAAGACGGTCTTAATTGATTGCAATCAAAAACTGGGATCCGCCATATAAAAATGTTTGTAAAATTTTCGCGCCAAATCGTGTGAATCCAGACACTTTGTAATAGAAAAATATGCCACATATCTCATCGGAAAAAAAGATGTCCGAATAAAACTTAATTCTTAGAGGTAGGACTTACTGCTTTGTCAAACATTTGACAAAAAAGAGAGGACACCCTTGCACCATACTCTTGTAAGGGCAGACATTTGAGTTCAGTGCAGTCGTGTATGTGTGTTTACACGTGTACCCGTGACATGTACATGGACAATGTACCGTGTACAGTACATGTTCATGCGCATGTGCTGGGGCGGACGTGACGTCTCGGTACCGCACTAGTCAGTGTCCACAGCAGTGGAAGTGATGAGCAGGGAAGGCCACTAATTCAACGCTTCTACCTTTGGAAATGGCATCAGTACTAATGAAATCGGTACAATATAACAAAAGAAGTACCATCCTCGTGTTAGATATATACCATTTTAGTGATACAAAATGGCTTTCCTGAATTTTCGTGCACCGTTGGATGGAGACAATTTTGGGGAGATTAAAAGTGACCTGATTATTAAAAAATTATCCGGTGGATTCAAAATAAATGCCTGGAATCAATGCATTAAGGGCGAATATCTAACTTGGTACTAGATTGTGTCTCAGAAAACATATTTTCTATCAAAAATTATTTGATGAAATTAGTGCAAAATTTTGCAATTTCGATTTTTCGTCGTTAACAAGTGAGAATATGTTTCCTTTAAACAGACAAATTCTCTCGGGCTATGAGTAATATAGGACCTGGCTCGTGTGGTTGGACTATACCTCTCTACGCCCACCCAAAGTAATATGAGGTCAATATCAATATAAACTTACTCAGACAGGCAATTGCAGAATTTTGGCCATTCTGCATACCCTCCCCCCGAACTGATTCACGCCGATTCTTTACGCCACTATAACATCACGTATACAAACTCGTGCACGACCTGTGCACTTCAAGATTAACGACGGCTGGATTTACACTACCATACATGTATTCCTGTCATATTATGTGTTGATTGTTGTTGAATAAAATTGGGCTACTTTGGAAGGAAAAAACAAGATGGATTACCTGGATAAGAATATGTAGACGTTTCTTGGCGTCAACTTTCCAATTTTGCTGGGCCCCTTCACCTGATCAAAATATAAAAAACGAACAAAAGTTATTGGCAAATTCTCCGGGTTAAACCGTCTGTCTTCCCATATCAATGTTCGCCGTCCGACAATGATATTTCACAAGTACACTCGCGACTTTTCACGACTGAACCTTAATTACATCCATGAATTCATCAGAATACTGTGGCGGTCGCAGTTAGACGATGCCCGGGCCTGCCCTCGGCCCACCCCACGAGCGGCAGTGGAGAAGGCCAGGGGTGCAGGTCCGTTCTGCGGCTATCTACCGCCAGGCGGTCGCAGATGACTTCCCGCCACGTTCGCGGTACTGGGATCAGGCGATGGCACGGGGCAGGGGTAACTCTCGGGGGATGGATCTTCTAATAAACACACTGGCTTAGTCACCATAAAGGTAGGACCTGGTTTATTGATCTCAGGTCGCCTCGGCAGGCGAAAGCGTAGCCTTAACAGGAACTCAACTAATAAGAACCCGCAGCTATGTTTCACACCTTGTACAAATACATTTTATTATTACGAAAAGATTCTCGCCTTTATTAGATCGCCCACCAAGATTCAATGCTCGGGGTGGCTGTTAATGACGTGGACTTACATTGCTGACCCAGCAATGACGAGGACTGACCTGTACTGACTGGAACTGCCTCTCCCGCTACCGCACGCTGGTTTATATAGCTGGTGCGCCGGTCCGCGAATTTTTTCCCAAACGACATCGCAATATAGTGTACTTTCGCGGCATCTGATTGGCCCGTTCGCCAACATTACGTCACATCCAGTACAACTTTTTTCACATGTGTCATCGCCACATTTTTCTTACAACTAACATGGAGGCGTTGACTTGTTGGCATGCGGCTCAGTTCGCATCCATGCATACTGATCTTCAAAACTATCCCACACTATCGGTAAGTCATATGATTGTGACCATGCTGTAGTTTACAGAGTCGGCATTTGAACAGCATTGGGTGTTGAATTGAACCGTTGGGTATCACATGAAAGGAGAAAAATCAGCTTTCACAATGAGTGCACACGCAGTACCATGTGCACTCGCAATACGCATCGTGTGTGCAGCGCTGCCTCTGCACATTCCAACTTCAGAGTACCACTTTCTCTCAATTTACAGTTGTGAATTTTTAAAATTGGTCATAATCTTGAGAGAGCATCGCCAAAGGTGAATGTAACGCTTTCTGCAGTCCCGTCTGCCAGGATCGACGTACGCTTTCACTGAGGCTGGGTCATTGACACTTCCCACACTGCCACCTTGTGGAATGTAACTAGGTTTAATCTGGAATTAACCAAATCAAAGCAAAACATGTGGTATCAGGTTGTGAAATTACACGTCACACGAAAAGGTGGTAATTGATCAGGCTCTAATAAGATAAATCACAATACATGTACATGTACATTAAAAACACGTAGTTACATAATACCATTGGAGGACATATCAACCTAAGTACATGTAGTTTGCAATAGATAGAAAACCGAGGGCTGAATGTTTTCGTGAAATGTACATGTACGCAGCCAAAACTTACGACTTTGCTGAGCACAGGCTAACAAACACAATGTACTGGCAGAACTAGCAGAAATACGTCAAAACAGGGTTTTCCAATATCTATTCATCCAATAAATCTTCAAACTTTGTAACTTCAGTAGCTTTCTCCAACGTGAGATTATCCGCCAACAATACACGCGTAAGTATGGTCCCCAAATCTTTGTTACCTGAGCCCTATCACATTATACAGTAATTATCTGTACATGTAACCAGGTATCCGACTGAAACAACGTCGGTGTAGCGATAACTACTGCCCTACATACAAATATCACCGGTGGGCCAGAGTAAAATGCACTGCCTGAATATACCTAAAGGAAAGCCTGTGTTACATTCCGGCCCCTAAATGTAAGAGTAATAAACGAACATTTACAATAACAATCTTGTAACCAGGCTTACAGTAAACCTTAAACACTACTTTAAATATTAACACAAGAAATAGTCGCCATAAAGGGCGACTGGCTTAAACTGGTAGAACTGGATGCTTAGCCCTCGACACCTTCCAGCAGGCACAACTTAGTGATGGGCCTGATGAGGCTTCCAGAGGCTGTACGGACTTCTGCACTCCGCACAAGTCCATCTTGTCCGGGAAGCGTCTTCAGTATCCTAGCCAGAGGCCAACGACTCCTGGGTAAGTAGTCATCCCTCACCAACACCAGGTCACCAGCCTTAAAGTTGGGTCGCGTCTCAATCCATCGTTGTCGACGTTGGAGCGTTGGGAGATACTCAGCAGTCCAGCGCCTCCAAAACTGCTCGACTAGAAACTGCACGTGTTTCCATCGTCTCCCGTACTGGTCAGTCTTGGCGTCACGGAGCGGCACCGGGTGACCGTATCCAAGTTTCAACAGGTGATTGGGTGTGAGTGGCTCAAGGTCCTTGGGGTCATCCGAGATGGCTGTGATGGGTCTATCGTTGACGATAGATTCTACCTCGCAAAACAAAGTGTCGAGTCTCTCGTCGTCAAGCACCTGGTTATACAGAAGTGAATTCAGAACTTTGCGACAGGTGCGAATTTGGCGCTCCCATACCCCGCCCATGTGGGATGCCCCTAGGGGGTTGAACTGCCATTCAACTTTTCGGTCAAGGAAAAAGCCCTCTATCTGCTTGCTCCTTCCAATGCGCTCAATAGCTGACTTCAGCTCCCTCTCTCCACCAATGAAATTCGTCCCATTGTCAGAGTAAATCTTCTTCGGGGTTCCCCTCCTGGCCACAAATCTGAGGAAGGCGTTAAGGAAAGCATCGGTGTCAAAAGAGTGCAACTTCTCCAGA